GGAGTACCTGCCTGCAGCAGCGTGCTCGGGGCTGGCAGGCACCCAGTGAAGCATTTGAATGCTCAGATACTCTCAGCAATAAGACAGCACATTTTACCTTTTAAATGCCTGCAATATATTTGCTTATTTTGCCTTTATGTTGTGCCCCAGGGTGCTGGGATATTTTGTAAAATGTAATCTTCTATAATCTATTAGTTGTGGAATTAAAATTTCAGCTTCCTGCAAACTCTCTTTTTAGGCAGCAAGGAATGTTGGCTTCTATTCAAATAAAAGGACTGGGAGAATAATTTTGACACTTTCTTCAAAAGTTGACCCAGTGAAGAAATAGGATTTCCTGAAATCAAATTTTAACATGGAAGATTTTTATTGTTCTCATTTACTTTGCACTTCTTTTGAAGTAAGAAATAAATTCAGGCTGGATTAGAGGAGCTAACTTGTTAAAAAGAAAAAGTTGTGCTTAGGGTAAAGCTTTTCATGTGTTCTGGAATGGCACATTTTCCAGAAACTGAGAAGATAAGAAACAGCTAGTCTAAATATTAGCAAAAGCATCCTTTTATAAGAAGGTGAACTTATTCTGTCTCAAATCTTTTGAATAACTTGATAGAGTATTTCCAATGGATTACAGGCTTGCAATTTAAGGCTGTGAGTTGACAAATTGTAAATATTGGTTCCATGCAGTGCAGCAGAGATCATGCAAGGTCAAGAAAAACCTAAAGGTTCATTTTAGCTATAATTCTCTAGATTCATTCATTTATATCTATACTGTTAAATTAATTCTCCAGAAAGCTTTTTCCAGAATTAATCTAGCTCTGAATATTACGTGTTTTAATCAGATAACAGCAGTACTAGTTCAGAATGTTTTAGGATTGTATTAGCTGTAAGGCTGGCTTTTTAAGGCAAGGTAAGCACCTTTTGATCCCAGATAGATTAGATGCACAAAATGCCAGTTGGACTTACAAAAGCTTTCCCAAGGCATTTGGGAATGTTACACTATTACTGGTGACCTAAGATTAGGACTTGCTAAGCAGAGGTAAAGTGTTTTTTAATTTGCTGTGAGGATGCCGTCATATTTTGCACAAAGAGGTGCTTATAAACCTAACAAGGTAGCCTTTGTGCGAGTCTACAGCACTCACCTTGAGCTGAGGCCTGACTTTTGTTTTCACTTGAACACTTCTGTCTCCTACCTACCACCTGCTGATTACCACAAAACAGTCTTACTGTTCAGGTATGTCCATTATTAATGTCTAGAAAATCACGTAATTTAGGTATTTTTGTTAAAAATGTAACAGGGAAGGTACAGTAGGTTACAGAAAGCATTTGCTTTACTAACCCAGTGTTTGTGGAATCTGGAGGTGTCCCTGATTTTCAGCTTATATGGAGCAATTTTTAACATATTTACTTTCTAAAGTTGACAGAAACATCTTCCCGGTATGCAAGAAAGATTTCTGGTACTACAGCCCTGCAGGAGGCATTGAAGGAGAAGCAGCAGCACATTGAACAGCTCCTGGCAGAAAGGGACTTGGAGAGGGCAGAAGTTGCTAAAGCAACCAGTCACGTAGGAGAAATAGAGCAGGAATTAGCACTTGTTCGAGATGGACATGACCGGGTAAGAGCACTGTTGCTGTTCTTGAAGTAGAAGATTTAAAGCAATGGACTTAATTCCCCAAACTGTGTTGCCTTATTGAAGAGCTCGAGGAGTAAGAAATGGCATTCTAAAACGTAACTATGAGCAGCTATTCCTTGAGGAGGCTTCGCTTTGATAAGAATAGTAAATCTGTTTCACCCCACTCTGGTTGAACTTGCTTGCATCTCAGCACGTGATGGCTATCTACTAGTGTGCGTGGATCGGAACGTGGTCATATTCTTGCCATGGAGCTATCTCTTTACCAAATCACAATTACTTAGATATAACTTGAGCTATATAACTTGAGTTAAACTTATGGATTGCCCCATTTACCTACTATATTTTATTCTTGTTGCTGCCTGTTAGCATGTACTGGAGATGGAAGCCAAAATGGACCAGCTACGAGCTATGGTGGAGGCTGCTGATAGGGAGAAAGTGGAGCTTCTCAATCAGCTTGAGGAAGAGAAAAGGTGACCCCAAAATGGCTTCATTTGTGCTTTCTGTTAAGAAAAAGTTTTTATTAAAGTGACTTTCAAATATGAAACACATTTCAAATAATGTAGATGTGGGCATTCGGTCTGCAAAACTGTGTTACGGTTACTTTAAAATAATACTAAGAGAGAAATTATTTATTACAGCTGTAGCATTACAGCTGGTATAATACAGACAGTGAAAGCTATGCTGTGAGGAAATTAATATTTTTAGATTTTTTTGTGATTGAATGTCCCCTTTTAGACTGCTCAAGAAACAATCCAGGTGGAGACTGTAACTATCATTTTTGTTATTATAAACTATTGCTTATAGCCTTATTTTATCTAATGCATTCCTTTTAGTGTTGCCCTCTGTTGCCAAGGGTTTTATTTCTACTCATATCAAGTTGATAAATTGTCCTTGAAGTTCTTGAAACGCACATTTTCCACTTCAAAGTGAAAGATTTGATAGTTCAATTTTCTAGGAGTGCTGAAATAGCAATAAATTATTCATGAGAGATCTAAGGCCTAAATTCCTATCAGCTGCATGCTTCTAGGGAGGGTCTGTCTCTTACAGAAAAGAACCATCAAATCCTTTAATGCCTTTTCTAATTGCCATTCTTAACCATTTGAGGAAAGGAACTGAGATTAACAGATGGATATGCACAGGCAAGGAAATAATCTGACGCAATGGTGGACCTTATAATTTGTACACCCCTATTTTAGAGGACCCACTCTAACTGAATTTGTAAAACAGTACATGGCAGATCTAGAATTGGTTGTATATATCCTACAAAGCAATAGAGTGCTTAAAAATAAAGAGGA